TTCTTTAAGGGTCGTCAGGGCTTGATCTTGAAGGTTAAGAGAAGTTTCTTCAAGAGCCGTCAGGGCTTGATCTTGAAGGAGGATTTGACGAAGAATGAAGAGGGCTTTCTTGATCCTTTGGGATTTGCTTAAGAGCTTTAGAGTTTCAAAGCTTCAAGGTTTTGATGTGATGTGAATTGGTGAAGTGAAATGAATGAAATTGGCTTCTATTCATAGACCTTTTCAAGGCCTAATTTTGAATATAATATTCAGATGAAATAAATCATTTCTACCAAGTGTTGACACATGTCTTATTTGATGACTTTTCTGATTTTGTTTGATTTTTTGTTGAGTTACATGATATGTGTAAAATTTATGTGATACGTGAACGTTGAAATTTTAATTATTGGTCAACATATATTTCACCGAAATTTCAATGTCTACAGTTAGTTTTCTCAACTCTAGCCATTTTGGATTTTGAACACGCAGGGGCATATATCCCTAATTGATCAAATATTCACTTAAACGGGTATACCACATCCGCTCGGATAATTCTGCATCCGGATAGTGAAGGCCTCATCAAATGAGAGGGTGTTCTTGTGGTCTAGAGCTATTTGAATCGGTACATGTAAGTCCTTTGGAAACTCCATGTCGGCTTCGTATTAGGATCCCAGAGATATTACAACCATGTTTGTAATGCTGCAATCAATCACATGACTCATGAGAGAAACCTTGTGCCACAAGGCGTCATATCACACTATTTAATTCATCTAATTCGTCATGGATTGATTCTTCTAATTGACCAATTAGTTCTATGTTGACATTAATCAACGAAATTGATTCTCCTAATTGACCAATCAGTTTTATGTTGACATTAATCAATTCGTTATCGTCGCTTTTCATTTATATTGGTAGTAACCATATAAATGAAACACCATATAAATGGAACAATTAATTGTTGGATTTGTTGGAAATATCAGTGATACGGATACTACTTCTCCTACAACAAATATATAAAAATAATATTAGTATATCACAATATGATTACCACAATTTATCAAATAAAATAAACCAAATGCAATAAAATACTTATCTTTTGTAGGGTAGAAATGCTCTTCGTCCATGCTTGATTAGAATAAGATTTTAGGTTAAGGCGTGTAATCACTGTCCTTAAGAGTAGATTTCGTCCCTCTAAGACAATGTCTTGGTGTAGCAGGTTATGGTGCCCTACCCTCCAGGATACAACAATTTATGATCCTTGTAAGCATACACTTGCAATACTTGGATCGGATGAACAACTTGATTTTCCTTTGGTATATAAAACTTGAAAGATATCACTTGGAAGAATGAAGAATCAATAATGGATAGATGGCAAACTAGGAGCTCATATTTGAAAAAGGAATAGAAGAGAATATTTATAAGAAATCAAAATGGTGTAAAACGTTATACTAAATAATTGCCCCAATTAATGGGTTAATCAAGTTGGAATCTTCAAACATAAAATGTGATTTAAGAGCCCCAACATTATAACTCCTTTAATGCGTCAGTTTTAGTTTGCAAATAAAACTTCAATTAAGATTAAAAGAAATCATTAAGAATGATATTAACATGACTAATGAGTTGCTTTGACTAATGAGTTGTATTTTGAAATACCCAATCAAATATCCAATAGGATTAAGTACCAAAAACCCCCTAACATTTTAGTGTCATTCTAAATTGGTCTCAACTTTTTTAAGCATTCCAAGCAAGTACCCACCTATTGAAAATTTTAGATTCGTTAACTCCCTGTTAATTTTTCATTAAATGAACATGTGGCAACAATGGGTCACACTTATTTTTTACTTGGGCACTAAAATAATAATAAAATAACTCCAAAAAAGATAGAAAGATGAAAAAAATAAATAAATAAAAAACAAATTCACGAATAAAATGGAAAACAAAAATGAAGATCCGGAAATCTCCTAACAAAAGAGAGGGTTAAGAATTCGCATAGGGTTTCAAGGAGCTTGTTTCTACTCATATTGATTTCCTCATTCGCCGATTTTTTAATAGTAAAACTTCCAGTTCTTCTTTGTGGGTGGTGAAGATGGTGGTGCTCGTATCATGATAGTCCATAATATTTCGGCAACCTTAGGACCTTCTTCTTGATGTTGGCGGCTTGAGTTGTAGGGTGGAGTTTGTGGTTATGCGTTGGATTTCGAGGTGATGGCCTAAATGGGGTGGTGTGACTGTTACTTGGTGTAGGTCATGCTTCCATGACATTCTATTGATGTTAGAGACAAAGTAAGCCTAGTTAATTTAAGAGAAATTTAATTAGGACTTACAGATGTGAGATTTTCAATAAGTTGGATACTTGTTTAGAATGTATAAAAAAGTTGATGCCAATTTGAAATGTCAACAAAAGATTGGGGGGTTTTAAGTACTTAATCCTTAATTGTTTTCCTTAATAAAATTTTATGCAACATAAATATATATATGTATATATATAGGGGTTGAGAAGGATGAAAGAGGAGAGAGAGGAGACAATCTGGTAAGCCTTGGCTACATACGGACGAAGAGGAGAATAGAGAAAAGAGAGGGGGCAGCAGGTTTGAAAAAGGAGCGCAACAACCTATTTTATGGTAATTTTTAACGCATGTGGCTACAAAGCAGGCAGCCAACCAAGTGGGAACCCAAGACAGAATCATTTGTAATTTTGTTAATATTTTATTATTTATTTTTATCCTAATCACTAAATAAATTTATTAAAGTATTTTTTAAGATTCAAGTTTTAAGATTCAAAATTTTGAATCTCTTTTCATTAATTTTTTCAAAATTTTAAGGTTATTTTCATTAGTTTTTCTATAAAATAAAAGATAAGACATTAAAACAGGAATAAAATCAATAATTGTAAAGTGATCTAAAACCTCATTTTAGAGTGTGTGTATCTCCAATTGAAAAATGAACTAATTGGGTGAATGTGAAAAATAATCTCAGGTCGGAAGGTTAAGAAATTTTGTAAGGGTTTATAAGAAGTTGCACACTCTGTAATGTGTGTGTGTGTATCTCCAATTGAAAAATGAACTAATTGGGTGAATGTGAAAAATAATCTCAGGTCGGAAGGTTAAGAAATTTTGTAAGGGTTTATAAGAAGTTGCACACTCTTTGTAATGAGTCTAATGACAATTGATTTTAAGGTGAAATATCAACTTTCTTCATCAATTGTTCATGTGTTATGCTTCAAATTTGCTGCACGTGAGAGACGTTTGAAGATGTAAAGAATTATCTCATATCAGAAAGTTAAAACCTTGTAAAGATTTATAAGCAGCTGATTCAATCCTCCTATTACTAATTAATTTTGAGGTGAAATCCCAACCTCTTTCATTAACACAACGCAATTTTCTTAGCCGAAATAGGCTAATTAAGTATAGCGCTTTACCTTACCCATGGACCAGCCATGACAAAGCATTTAATCTTTCAACCATGTCAGACTTTCAGTTGGCACTTTTCCTTTCATGCATGAATTTCTCACGGACTTTCAACTTCCTTATCTGCTTTAGGCTACCAGGTGGGCACATGACAGTTGAAACAAGATAACAATAACGTCCATTTCTTGACTCAGAAAGCAATACGTATTAGTCTGCATAAAAATTTACTGTATGTCTAAACCATCTGATGAGTTATTAATTAATTCACTCTGTTTTGTTTTACTTGTTAAAAAGAAAGAACATAAATTGCTTCTCAAATCTAAGCTTTGCTTTATGAATTGTGATCAAGGGACAATATCTTATCTGATGATGAAAGACTTACCTTTTGGTCTGCAAATCTTTCATGTATTACTCCTTAAATTACATGAACTAGATTCTCATGGTTTCTGGTATTTCTAGATTTTGGTGCGATCACAATCTATCAACTTCAAGGAATGGCTAAATTATGCAGCAGTGTAATGGTTTTTCATGGATAGTACATGTTTAAGAACATGGAATAAGAATTGAAACATCTTGGTGTTTGGATTCTTCGCGTTTATATTAACACTTCCGGACTTGAAAATTGGTGAGCTCTCCCTGAAAATCCATAATTAATTACTTAAAAATCAGACCAACTAGGGTGCTAGTTGATCTGATTCTCTTTCCTTACTTTCTTTGTATTTCTAGGTTCTCCAATTTCTTACTTCCCCCATTTTTTTAAGTAAATATGCCATAACTTCATTCAACAAGGGTGGAGAAACTGAATGTACTTGACCACATGACTATGTGGTAAGTTTATTGAATACTAGCCTCTCCACATGTGGTCTCGCGCATAAGAGAAGTCTTTTTTTTTTTAATCATGGCCGCTATGCACTTCTTAAGATGTGTTGCGTTAAGGTGTAGTCGTACCAGTTAGAGCAACATGCTTAGGCGCAACCATACTGGTTAGAGCAACATGTTCTCTCATATACACTTAAGTTTGAATTCCGCTCTTCATAATTTGGATTAGATTACTAATTACAACCGCTCGAATACAAGAATTTTGAATCTAAAATTTTATGGTTAGTTTGTGTGTGTAAAGGTAATCTTTTCAACTATTTTATTTTGTCGTTAATTATAAAGAGATACAACTTACCAAAATTAAAGAAATGCTAGCTAAACGATTGATATATAGTAGTGTCAAGATACCACTAATCAAGGTGCATTAGCAGAACTGGGTCTATTTTTTGACCTAATCACTAATTAGAACAGCAAACCATATATTTGATTGACAGTGAGAGATTGAGAGATTAATGTTTTGGGATCAGACAGAATCCCTTTAACTACGGTGAGTTTTTCTTAGTGAGACAACGAATGTTATTATAATGCAGTTGGTAATTCTTTTTTGTAATTTTTTGATCAAATCCAAATGTGGTTATTTTAAGAAGGTTTTAAACGTACCTTATACTCTTCCTACCATTTGCTGCCTCTTCATTTTTTACCCTTTTTGTGTCTCTGCATTTCCCTATTCTATTTAATTATTCTGCAAGTCTGTTTCTCTTATTTTGTGTCCGTGTGTAGAGAGAGAGAGAGAGAGAGAGATAGAGAGAGAGAGAGGGGGGGGGGAGCATGGTTAACATTTCGAGTGATCAAAATGTGAGTGATTTTATTCAAAATTTACAATGATTTCAGGTCTTTTTCATCTGGTTGCATGTTTATTAGGGTTTTTACATATTTCTGAACTTCAATCTTTTTTGATGTCTGACAGAGCGTTGATGAACTGAAACACAAGCTTCTCTGCAAAATATACGAACTAGATACAGTGAAAATGATGGCGAAAGAGGAGGTGAGCAAGAACGAAGAAATCATGAAGCAGTTATTTCAACTCTGGCAGATTACTTGCCAAGAAAGAGATGAAGCAAGAACCCAGTTGCAGAAACTTGTGAATAAGTTAGTGCCATCATCCATACTAGATGATCAAACTTCAATCTTCTCACCACAACTCAATATCGAAAACCCGATCCCCCAAAAAACCCTAGACCCTCCTATGCTCAAGGAATCAGATAGTAATTTTGTGCCCTCCCAATCTTACAACTTTCATGCCTTTGGTTCATATCCCACAAACAGCAACTTGGGTTCTTCTATCTCCTTCCCAGGCCTGCAGCCTAATCCAAACTTTCCGGATTCGAACAACTTGGGGTTTACGAAAAATGTTGTTCCCGTGGGTTCGAAGATCGATTTTGGTTCAGTTCTTATTGACAACATTGCTAGAGTGAGGCCACTGCCCAAAAAAGGAAGACTAATGCAGGCTGTGATGGAAACTGGCCCTTTACTTCAAACACTTCTTGTTGCCCCTCTTCCAAAGTGGAGAAATCCTCCTCCTCTTCCCTCTTTTAAGAATCCGCCTGCGCTCGTTAATGGAGGTGATCATTGTGCCTCATTGGTAGATCAGAAGGAGGAGTTTGATTCGTTTCTTGCGGCGCGGATTTCGTCAAGTGGGTCTGCTTCATTCCTTGAGAGTTCACCTGGATTTTCTCAGATACCATCTTCATCTATGTTGAATTTCGCTCGTGGTTCGGCAAGTTTGAGCAATGGGATGGAATTGCAATTTGGGAACAACAATGCGGATGCCATGCAGTTTCAGGTTGCAACTGGTAAAAGAAGAAGGTTGTGATCATGAAGTGGTAGGAGACTATAATCTTTTTTGTAGATGGACTTTTGTGACTAGTGTAAATGAATTTCTGAATAAAGTAATGGGTTTGGAGACTGGTGTAAATCAAATCTTGAATAAAATAAATTACTGTGTAGCTTTTTGGATTTGGTTTGAATTCCAGTACAACCAAATCAGTTATTGACTTTTTTTACGGTTATTTAATCATTATATTTAACAATGTATGTCATAGATTAATGTAATTTAAAATTTTTAATTAATTATGTACCAAAAGTATTTTTTTTTTTTGTAATCAATTTCCATTTAGTTTGAATTTTTTTTTCTTTTAATGGGAATCATTAGACTTAAAACATTGGATTTTCCTTCTTTTTTTTTTTTTTTTTTTTAATTCACTTATAATGTCTCAAAGGAAAAGCATGTAATTTCTTCTATGTTGCATTACAAGTAGGAAAACTTTCATGTCTCTTAATAATTTCTGTTTGACTCATCTTCTGCGTAATATTCACAATCGATCTATCTCACTAATTCCCTGAGTGTTATAGAGATAAATTCTTTGGTCTTGACACTCATATCACGTCAGTCGTCCAACCCTCTCACAAAAGAGGGATCCTCTTTTTGTTTGAGTTTGGTACCCTTTACATGAATAAATTTTAAGATATGAATGATGGACAACGTGCTTATGCGGCCACATACACAAAATAGAATATCCGCTACCATTTTCAACACCTAAGCCCATGCGTAATCCCACTAATAATCTAATATGATGTTGTACATACATATGGCCATGTAAAAAAAAATTATACTGATGTCCGTGCACAAGAATTTCTCTAGTGAAAGAGGCACACTTGCTATTCATTAACGTTATGTTTTTGGGTGTTGCACCCACAATTAGGCCAAAAATTGGACCGAACCCGCCAATTTTTAACGCGTTCAAACGCATGAAGTTACATTTCTGAGGCTACCCAGCATGCCCTTCCCGCATGGCTATTTGACCCCCAAAATTACCCGCCAAAACACAAACACATGAAAACCCTAATTTGCAGGTCCCCTTTCTCTCACTTGATACCGAGGAAATCTCACTCTTCAGCTTGCTCCCTTCTTACTGAAACCCAGAAAGCACATACCCATTCTCTGAAAGCAAGAAACTCGGATGCATTCTGGCATGCACGCCAACTGTTCGACGAAACGCCTGACTTGAGCGTGGTATCGGCCACAACAATAATAGGCCAATTTGCTCGGCAGCACCGTCATGAAGAAGCTATCTATCTCTTTTCTAGAATGCTTGTTTTGAATATCAGACCCAACGAATTCACATTCGGCACTGTCTTTCACTCGTCAACCGCACTCGGAGACCTATCAATAGGCAAGCAGCTTCATGCCTGTGCAACAAAAACGGGTTTGCATTCGAACGTCTTTGTGGGGAGTGCAATTTTGGATCTTTATGCCAAGTTGAGCGTTACCCAAGATGCTCAAATAGCTTTCGAAGATACCCAGTACCCGAATGTGGTTTCTTACACGACGTTGATATGCGCATACCTGAAAAAGGAGAAGCTTGAAGATGCCCTGCTTCTTTTCCGAGAGATGCCGGAGAGGAATGTTGTTTCGTGGAATGCAATGATTGGAGGGTACAGCCAAACAGGCCACAATGAAGAGGCTGTAAATCTTTTCGCCGAGATGCTTAGAGATGGATTGGTGCCTACCCATTCTACTTTTCCATGTGCCATCATTGCAGCTGCCAACATAGCAGCACTAGGAATGGGCAGGAGCTTTCATGCCTGTGCTGTCAAGTTCTTGGGTAAGCTTGATGTTTTCATTGGCAATTCATTAATAAGCTTTTATGCAAAATGTGGAAGCATGGAAGATAGTCTCTTAGTTTTCGATAAACTTGAGGGAAGAAACATTGTTTCTTGGAATGCTATGATATGTGGTTATGCTCAAAATGGTAAAGGAGAGGAAGCCATTGGATTTTTCGAAAGGATGAGGGTTTCTGGTTGCAGACCGAATAGCGTTACGCTTCTTGGTTTATTGTGGGCTTGTAATCATGCTGGTCTTGTCGATGAAGGTTACTCATATTTCAATCAGGCAAGAACTGAGGACTCTATCATTCTAAAGCCTGAGCACTATGCTTGTATGGTTGATTTACTCTCGCGCTCGGGGTGTTTCACACAAGCTGAGGAGTTCATCTGCAATCTACCTTTTGAACCGGGTATTGGGTTTTGGAAGGCGTTGCTTGGTGGCTGCCAAATCCACTCGAATACGGAATTGGGGGAGTTTGCAGCTAGGAAAATCCTGGATTTGGATCCGGAAGATGTGTCATCGTATGTTATGGTATCCAATGCACATTGTGCAGCTGGGAGATGGCAAAGTGTCTCAACAATACGGAGAGAAATGAAAGAAAAAGGACTAAAGAGGGTTCCAGGCTGCAGTTGGATAGAAGTCAGAAACAAAGTTCATGTATTTGTTACTGGGGATAAGAATCATCTGCAATTGAATGAAATTTTCACTATGTTAACAATTTTGTATAGAGCATTTAAGGGAGAATAAATCCAGGTAAGTAGACAGGCTCCAGCATCTCCTACCGATATGTCAAATTGCCACAAGGCTTCTAAGCTCTTGCAATGAAACAACAGATTGATAGATCCAATTCATCATAGAAGATGCTCAACACTGCTTTCATGTTTTGGTTTTTGAATCCGAGCATGTGTGTCGCCGGATACCAACAACTCGAGGTTGAGAGTGACTCGAAGGTGCTGGTCGATATATTGAAGCAAGCACGGATTCCAGATGGCGCTATCGGGTGTATTGTGTATGACATTCAACTTTTGGCAACGCGATCTCTACATGTCTATGTCCCGAGAGCGGGTAACCGTGTTGCTCACCTTTTCACTTCCTTTGGTTAACCGTTTGGGGGGTTCTTCCTATAGCTGGGGTGTTTTTCAAGTGCCGGATTGGCTTTGCAATTTCTTAGCTGAAGATTGCAACGTCGTCTAATTGATGTGAATGCCTATGTAGGTACCTGAAGAAGCAAGCAGTCATATTGGACTTTGAGGTCACCAGTTGAAAGTTTTAGGTTTGTTAAAAATAAAAAATAAAAATTTTATCACAAATAGTCCTTAAAATTGATCCACCCAATCAAGATGGTCTCTGAAATTGAAAATCAATAAATGTAATCCCTAAAAATGAGTGTCGCAAATCAATGTGATTCATCTATTAAAAATCTATCAAAAATTCTATTATGAGCTGATGTAGCATATAATTGGATCTCACAAGTATAATTAACTATTATTATAAGAATTAAAAATATTTAATTAATAAAAAACAAATTTCTTTTTGTACAATTAAAAACTAAAAAAAGCTAAAAAAAAAAAGAAGATGAACCGTTGATGCTTCTTCTTCCCCTCCTACCCCAGCAACCGCTATACACACCCCACCCCAACCCCACCCCACCCCACCCCATCCGCACCCCTACCCGCCCCCACCCCCACACCACCCACCTCCCCCCCACCCCCCCCCCCCCCCTCTTCAGATTGTTTCAGATCTAATGAAAAATGCACACTAAATGTGAAATGTTCAACAAACTATTCTAATTTGTACGTTTTAGAAAATGGTCCTTTGTATTTCTGATTCACCTTGAATTTTGGAGTGAACACAATTTCTATATTTATGACACAAGATTGCAGTGGGTTTTATTCTAATGTCCGTCTTGTGTGTGTTCTTGATGAAATGTGCTCAAGAATTTATGCACTTGATGCAGCTGATTTCTGCGTGTAACTTCACATCGCATTGAGTCGTCGACTGTATATATCATTCTGATCAATTTGGCAAGAAAGATTTTTGGGATTTCTCTGTCTCTCATTCTTTTCAATTTGGCTGCTATAATGGAGGGTGATGACGAAAATCTGGGTTGAGGTGATGTTGTACTGGTTGCGCGGGAGGGTGGGGAAGAAGAAGATGAGCTATACATCTTCTTCTTCTGTTTTTCCATTTTTATTTTTCAAGTTTTTTATTATATAAAAACAAAAATTATTATTTTTATTTAAATATATGTAATTCTTATAAAAATATTTAATTATAATTATGAGACTTAATTATGTGTCACATCAGCACATAACAGAAATTTGACAGATTTTTAATGAAAGAACCACATTGATTTCCGACATCCATTTTCAGGGATTATATTTATCGATTTTCAATTTCAGAGATCATCTTGATTTGGTGAGTTAATTTCAAGGACCATTTGTGATAAAAACAAAAATAAAAATAAAAAGGCTTAAGGTAGAATAGTAATAGGAAGATGAAATAGTAAACTGGCTGAAAATCATTTTTGATACTATTTACTTACACTTTTTTTTATTATTTTGATTAAAATTCAAAATTTTCAAGTTTTTTTTATTAGTTTTCGTTAAAGAAAATAAAATTAATTAATAAAAACCCATTTGGGCTTCTTGGTACAACTTGTATGTCGGTTCAAAAGTTACAAAGCCCAAATCAATAAAATTCGAATATGCGCGTGACTTCTCGGGTCCACTTATCAACACGTGTCAGCAAAACGCAACAGAAAGGTGCGCACGACACATAAAACCGGTCCCGCGGGGACCGCACGCGCCTAAGCAAATCAAAATTTGCGGGGCCCATTTATCTAACCATGGTTGGAAAATCGGAGAGTTAACTTATCGTCTTGGTTCCCCAGTTAACCCGAAGCCCAACCCCTTAACCAGGGTTAGTTTCCGTCCCCATCTCATGGTTTGGAGCTTTCAGATCCAAGATTAGGGTTTTCAGAGCTCAAAAAAATCCCCTCTCAAATTCCCCCAAATCTTATATCAATTTCTCCCAAATCCTATCTCAATTTTTCAAATTTCAAATTCGCGGAAACCTAATTAGGTCCTGAATTTCTGATTCGTTGAAAATTTTGCTCTCTCAAGAGAGAATTTGTGTTTCGCTGAGGAAGCGAAAAAATTAGGGGAATAATGGAAACGCAGAGGATAATGGAATTTCCTCACAAGAATATGGATAAGCGGCCGAGGAAGAGACCTCGATTAGCATGGGATATGCCCCCTCCTCTTCCTCCTCCCGAGGTTTGTCTCTCGTAGTTTTTTTTTATTTTTTTTTATTTTTTAATTTTAATTTTTTGTAGTCACAAATTTCAGTTTATTAAATTTGTTATGTAATCGCAATTTTCAATTCGGAATTGTTTGAAATTTTTGTGCTTTAGGGACGGAATTAATTTGAATTTTAGGAATTGGGTAATTAGGTTCTAGAATTGAGATTGTTGAATTATGTATATGTATCTGTAATGCAGTTATCTGATAATGCTTAATATGTTTTGCAGCTGCTCCCGGCATTTTATTGCGGGCAGGAGTTTGGGAATGGGCCGATCCCGAATTACACATACACGTCTATGTTTTATGGGGGAGTGCCTCGAAATGCTTCCCCTCCATGGAGACCTGATGATAAAGATGGTCATTACGTGTTCGGCATCGGAGAAAATCTAACCCCTCGATGTAAGTCCCTTTAACTAGTGCGTAATGTAGGTCTTGTTATATGTAAGGAGGTGATTTTGCATTACCACATGTTGAAAATTTGATTGAGTTCTTTTGCTTGGTTGGTAATTCGTTAGTGTTTGCAACTATGTGGGCTTATTGGGAATATTGGTTTGTATTCGTAAGATATTCCATGATTGGGATAACTGACAAGGTTTGTGACTTTTGAAAAGGTATCTCATCAACATGTATGTTCATGATACAAGTTCGTGATTCTAATGTCATGATCATTTACTAAATAAACAGTGCAGGTGCTTTTGTAGCCTAAGTAAATGTATGGATTCACAATTTGAAATTTTGAATTTGGGTGAATAGACTACGGGAATCTACATGTATGTTAATGATACAGTACATTTACTTTTCCATACGTAGAATCACACATTAGGTTTCTGCATTCAAGTTTGCTGTTAAAATGTTAATTATTCATGAATTGAATAGGGTTAATTTTGTTTTTTTCTTATCAATTATACTTATTGATACAATTTCCTCATCATACTTGCAGATAGAATTCTCAGCAAAATGGGAGAGGGTTGGTATTTCTTGCTTTCTTGGGTGAAAAATCTACACTCAGAATAAAATTTTAATATTTTGGCTATGAATTTCCAGGGACTTTTGGGCAAGTGTTAGAGTGTATTGACAACGAAAAGAAAGAACTTGTGGCAATCAAAATTGTCCGCTCCATACATAAGTATCGTGAAGCTGCGATGATTGAAATTGATGTCCTACAAAGGCTTGCAAGGCATGATATTGGTGGCACTCGGTAAGGATGTTTTTATTTCTGTCACCCTTATTGGTTGTACAAGTTTAAAGTGATGGTGGTATAAGCGGTTTTATTCTTTGCAGTTGTGTGCAAATACGGAATTGGTTTGACTATCGTAATCATATTTGTATTGTAAGTATTTATTGGTACTTCTGATTTAATTAGTTTGGAAGGGCAGTATATGCCCCTTTATGCCTGAATTTTCTGTGAGTTAAAAAAAACTTGCGGATGGGTTGAAATGGTTTCAACAGGTGTTTGAGAAGCTTGGACCTAGCTTATACGATTTTCTTCGCAAAAACAGCTATCGTTCATTTCCCATTGATCTTGTTCGGGAGCTTGGCAGACAACTTTTGGAGTCTGTAGCATGTGTGTGGACAATTCTTGCCATTTTATCTAAATTTTTGCAACATGTTACTCAAACATTTAAGTATAAAGCTGAATTCTAGGCATGATACATTATTGCATGACATGCATCTATAGCATGTATTTGATGATATAATGGTTTGCTGGTTTGTTTTTGCAGTTATGCATGATTTACGCCTTATTCATACTGATTTGAAGCCAGAGAATATTCTACTTGTGTCCGCCGACTACATTAAAGTGCCAGACTATAAGGTATCATTTCCTAAATCATGCTTTTTGTCTCTTGTCTCTCTATATTTTACTTTTGTTCCTCATTACATTAACTTGTAAGTTGGCAGCATCATTTTACATTATATTTTTTCATCCCAAGCCATCTACAGATCTTGTACCTCTTAGCCTGGTAATTTAGTAAAGCTCAAAATCCTGACACTTTAATTTCTTTCCTTAATTTCAATCAAGTTTCTATCACGTTGGACTAAAGAGGGTTCCTATTTCAAGAATCTGCCCAAGTCAAGTGCCATTAAGCTCATTGATTTTGGGAGTACAACATTTGAACATCAGGATCACAGCTATGTGGTGTCAACACGCCATTATCGTGCACCGGAGGTCATTTTGGGTAAATACAGTTCTAGGCTACTCAAGCGATATCTTGATTTCATATTTTTACTCTTTTAGATGACAGTCATCCGATGTTACCTGCAGGACTTGGATGGAATTATCCTTGTGATATATGGAGCATTGGCTGCATACTTGTTGAACTTTGCTCGGTAAGTACCATCGAGTTCATATGGGCCGATAATCTATAGTTCAGTCGGTTTTATTTATAGTTCAAAATAAGTTTTTACTGCCTAGGGAGTGCCAGAGCTTTTTTCTTTACACTTGTTTTTCCTCCAATATTGTCTTTTAACAGGGTGAGGCCCTTTTTCAAACACATGAAAACTTGGAGCATCTTGCCATGATGGAGAGGGTTTTGGGCCCACTACCACAACATATGGTGGTTAGAGCTGAGTAAGATTCGTACTGCACACGGTCCCCTATCGTTTTGTATGTTGTGTAGAGCTCATATACTGTTCTTGATTTTTGCAGCCGTCGTGCTGACAAATATTTTAGAAGGGGAGCACGACTAGATTGGCCTGACGGTGCAACTTCTAGAGAAAGCATGAGAGCAGTTTGCAAGTTGCCCCGGCTTCCGGTAATGTTGAAGAAGTTGAAATGTCTCTTATCTTATTTCTGCCAATTATAACGCCGCTAGGCATATTGCGTAGGATCGTTAATGAAGTCTTCTGACTTTGCGACTGTTTTGATCCATCGGTTGCAGAACCTAATAATGCAGCATGTGGACCACTCTGCTGGTGATTTGATCGAGCTCTTGCAAGGGCTCCTAAGATACGACCCGGCAGAGCGCCTCAAGGCTAGGGAAGCGCTAAGACATCCCTTCTTCACTAGAGATATGAGAAGGGGTGGCTACCCCTTGTAATCAACGGCCCTCATCTATAGATCACGAGCACGAGCTTACCAGAAAAGATTGAAAGATGTCAAATGAGTTGAAAAACCAGTTGTGAGTTTTCGATTGTACGATTGTTAATGTATAGTAAAGCTTACCCCATACCTGTCTCCCTGCAATTTCTTATACTGGTTGTCTTGTTCTAAAGCGATCGCTTCTGGTTTACATTTTCATGATTTTCAGCTTGACCAGAAAACATAAATATAACTTGCGTGTTGTTTTTGTGTTTTGTTCGATGTGCCATTCTTACCCAAATTCATGGTAAATTTGGGATTCTCAGTTGGAAGCAATGTATTAAAAGCGTGAGGCGTGGGCGAGGCGATCGAGGGATAGCCCAGCTTAGGCGTGAGGCGAAGCTTCGCGGGACCTAAATTTTTTAATATATACACTAAGCGGACACATATATTATATTAAAAAAAGAAGAAGATTATTAATCAATAATTACCCTAAGCACATATATTATAAACACAAATACACACATATATATACATATATTATATTATATATATATATATATATATATTTAAAATAGATGATGTAAATCACAATAAGCATATATATAACAATACACACAGACAGCACACACATCCATTATATAAAAGAATAAAAATCAGAAAAAGGTAGGGAGACGATAATGCAAGGAAGAGGTATGAGGTAGTTAAAATCCTGCCCAAAATTTGTGTTTAGGAGTTTTTTTTTAAAAAAAATAAAAAAAAAGAAAAAAAAACCCCTAAGGCGTGCCTACGCAGCTTCAACGAAGCCTTTCGCCCACTCCAGCAAAATAGAGGTGTTAGCCTTAGCACCTAGCCTCAAAGGCGCCCTAGGTGCGCCCCGAGGTTAGTTTTTTAAAACATTGGTTGGGAGATAAACGAACATTTGACGGTATATTAAGTCAATTACTTGTTGCTATGCGTAATTACTTGAGATGCTGTTACAGTGGTAGATTGTCTATTTGGATAGCGGGTTTAGTATTTAAATTTACTAATGTACACTTTCAAGTTGCTAACCAGCTCCTAGGCTGTAAGGGCTTAATCTCTTTCAAACATCTACGATATAGTTGTATAAATAGTTTCGTAGCAGTATTATAAAGAATATTAAAAAATTCACATTGAACTATTGTTTGGAATTGGATTCCATCCGGATCCATTTTGTGGGAATTCTAAGGATCTTTATATCATAGTCATTCATCATGTATCGTGCAGTTAGAAATCATTTGACCTTTTTATTATTTAAAATTAACATAAATAGTATCTGATGAAAACTGACTGCACGATGTACGATGAAAGGTTAAAATGTGGGAATCCTTAGAATCCTCACAAAGTGGATCAGGAAAGGATTGTCTTCCCTATTGTTTGATGATTTGATCTTTGTTTAATTCGGTCATATGCTCTTGTTGCATTCTGATAGTGACAAGTGGTAGATTGTAATTCTGAATAGGGTATTACTCAGCTTCTACTGTTTCGTTTTCAATTTACTTTTTGTCCTCGGAATAACTTTAGAAGAGTAACATTGCTTATAATAAAAAAATAAAATAAAATACACAACTGGAGTTGGTAGTTACAAACCGTGAATCAACATCATAATTGCCCTAACAAATATATCATACTAGGTCGGTGTAGCTTAAATGATATACCTGTAATAGAAGATTAAAGTCGACAAAGCAATCATGTGTTGGAATATTGGATCATATTTAGAAGGGATTTGATAAAAATAATTTCCTTTTAGCTAAAATAGTCCCGTTTGGTCCTGGAGATTTAAAATTAATAGAAATAACCTCTGAAAATGTTTACCATCAATTATTTTGATTATTCTGTAAAAAATCTCTGTTAAATTGAACAAACCACCAATTCAAGGGAAAAAAATTGATTTGACAAAAATACCCTTTAACGGAGATTTCTCACATATCAAAATGATTGACGGTTAATAATTTTATAGACCATTTCTATCAATTTTAAATCTTAAAAATAAAAAATAAGGAGTTTAGCCAATCTCACGATCATTTTAAATAAAAAGCCAAAACTATTTCGTTTGTCGTGCTATGCAGCCAAGGATGATTATTTACACCGGTGGGACAAGGAGGAATTTCTTGCCCAAGTTCTATCAAATTTTTTTTGGGATAAGGATAATCAATATATTATACTCATTTTGTTTTTGATGTTCAATATATATACAGATTGAAGATATATATGAAACGTATTTTTGAGTTCGAAAAATTATGATTAAATTTTGCATATAAAGTATGATGATTTTTTTTTTCTTTTTTTGTTTGTTTTTTCCAGCAAAAAAACATGATGGATCTTTGCAACAGTTAAAGTTCTTTAAATTATAGAGGAACTGTTATATGCTAAATGGTAAACCCGTAAACCATGGAAAAAAGGAAGAGAGAGAAGGTGTTTTTGGGATTTGGATCATCTCTGGAACTCAGCCTGCTGAGCTTCTTGAGCAAATCATAATGGCCGTATGGCCGTTGGATCAAAATCCAATGGCTACAAACAAAATCTAACGACCACAATTATTATAACTTTTAGAGGAACCCCTTGTTTGTAGCCGTTGGATCAAAATCCAACGACTCGTGTGATTTGCTCAGGAGGCTTAGGAGACTGAGCTCAGGAGAGGATCCAAATCCGTGTTTTAGATAAAGAGCGGATTTGGTTTGAATTTTTAATGAGTAATAAAATATTCGAAGTTTTTTTTTCCCTTATCAAACGATAATATCTACATGGGAAAGGGATGACTTAAATTCATAATGGGTTAGTAATAATATGGTTCAAATTCATATTTGACGAGAATCGAAGCTAAGATTTCTCACTTACAAGTAAAAAAAAAAAACCCACTAGACTGTAGTATCTAGTGGCTTAAAGTTTGTTAAAATAAAAAAAGAACAGTTGCTCTCTCTTCCTTTTCTCTGTAATAGTAAATGAATAGTTGCTCTTTAAATTTGTTGTCTAGAGCTTGTCCTTGTGGTGTACACTCTTTTAAGTCTAGGCTTTATGTCTATACCTCTGTCATCCTCGTAAAAATTACCTAAATTTGAAATAATAGAATTAATCCTCGTAATTAGCTGTCTTAATAGTCGTGGATTGCAAGAGTGATATATGAATGAAACCTTGAACCACAAAAAGTTAGGCTCATATGCTTATTTTGCCTCTTTCTCTCTATCTCCCCTAATCAGTTGTTTCTATCGTTGTTTATAAATGGCAGGTTATATGCCGACTCATCAAAGAATGCCAGGAAGCCAACTTTGGTGTTGGAGGGACAAAACTTTACACAGTTGGGAGTCTTGTCTTAATACGTACAAAGGAAAATGGAATCACATGCAATTAGGTCCACAACTTCAACACAAAACAGTACTGTAATAAAGATATGCATGCAAAGGATTAAAAACTGAGAGCAACAACTGATAATCTGATATGTACCCAACTAAAGATGTTGATCATGCTCTTTAAAAGATCATTAAACTAATAAAAGATCAGTAAAGGGAAGCGTTGAGAGTTTGAATCTCACGTATCGGAGAAAGAAAAGGCTTTGCAAATCACATGCCTGTCCCATGCATCAGAAATCTCTTCTGCAATGAATCCCATGAAACGATCATTTTTATGGATTATATACGTTATCCATTATTCCATAACCATGCATACATGCAAACAAAACTGGCTGAATGCAAAGAAACACATAAAATGCAAAGGAATACAAAAGGCACCGATCGAAATGCTTAACAAAACACCAAGGGCATGTTTACGTATCCGTAATCAGAATGAAAGTGTAGAATTAGATTCCGATTACGGAACACTCCGGTGTTTACTAAACATTGAGAAATCAAAAAAGCAGTGGGGCTCACATATATTTTGGAATTCAATTCCTTGTATTGGTGGAATTGGATTCCTTACACTAGTAGGCACTACTACGTTTTACTATTTGCATGACGAACCAAAGTTGGTCACGCAAAGTGTATTTCTGTCGCACGAACTTTAGCGTGATAGAAACTTTGTCGCACAGAATCCGTCGTGCAAAGATCATGAAGAAAGACTTTGCGCGATGAAAAACATCATTGGTTGCAAAAACACGGCGTGACGGTTTACCCTTTGTCGCACAAAATTTTTAGGAACAAATGTTTTCGTCACACAAAATACCAGGATACATACGTGGGACGACTATTATTCGTCTCTCTAAACTTTGCGTGACGACAATTTATTATTGCGCGACGAAACCTAGTTTGGCACTTGAGTTTTGCGAGATGAAGGTTTTCGTCGTGCAAAAATAAAAATATTTTTTTTTAATTTAATTTTACATTTTGTTTTTTTCTTTAATTTTGTAAGAAAAATAAATTGCATTTTTTTTTGGTAATAAAATTAAATTGCAATTAAAAAATGTAATTAAGAGAAAAATAATATATTTAAATTAATATAAATGTATGTACTATGTACAAGAAAAATGTTTAAAAAGTAAGAAAGTAAAAAACTAAGAAAATAATGCGGCGTAATCTACGTGATTGTCATGCGAAGGCGGCTAGAAGGTCTCAAGGTTGTTGACATGCTCAGAGGTCGAATGGGCAGAGGTGTGGGCATGCTCGGGTTGGAGGGGCTCAAATGTCGACAGGGGACGAAGATCCAGGAAACGAATGACAGACTGGCTGAGGGCCTGTAACAGTGGAGTAAGCATAGTGGCTAATATAATGCAAATTTGAAGCGCTAACGATAAGAATCATGTTATTGCGGATATGACTTTTTATAGGGTGATTCAAGAGATATGGGAACTTAATTATAACATATTCACGCATGTGGTCATTAAGTGTGATTGGGTTGAAAATAAAAGTGTCATCTGATTAGAAAAGTTTGAAATCAAATTAATTAACCTTAACAAAATTGAACATAAGTCAGATAGTTTGTTTTTGCTAGTCAAGTGAAGTAGATGTTTTACATTAAAGATCCAGAGGATTCAAGGTGGTTGGTTATATTGCCAAGGCTTCAGTATGATTGGCTACATGATGATGAGCTAGGAGATACTATAATTGAACGTGAATGTCTTACATCTGTGACATCTGGCTCCTATACGAGGTGAGCTCAGTCCTAAGGTTGGCCACCTATGTTGTCAAAGCTGTCACTTGACTTTTTGATTGCGATGATGAAAGGGCTCTAGGTTCCCCCCGCCGAGCATTCCCCGTCCCCCTACAATATGTCCCCAGCCTCCACCTGAGAGTCTGATCCAAGGTCTCCGTAAAGATCTGAAACC